ACATAATTAGAAAGATTTTCCCCATACACACGTTGTAGAAGGAGGTGCCCATATTTTCTTCTGGTACTTGTGTTTCAAGTTTGACATTTAGACCTCTGCCCCATTTGGAGTCTGTGGTATCTTCTCACAAGTGGCTGTTTTAGTTACCTATCGATGGATAAAAAATCAGCCTGAAATTTAGTGGCTTAAAATAAGATTGGTTTTATTAGCTTCCCTAGTTCTGTGTGTAGATTTGGCTCAGCTGGGCTGTTACTCTGCTAATCTTGCTCAGGTCCTCCTGTACGGTTGCAGTGCTTGGTGTCTGGGACTGGAGTTCTTTAAAGACTTGATTTGGGGGTGCCTGGGTGGCTCAGTCAGTTAAACATCCAATCTTGATTTCGGCTCAGGTCATGACCTCACGGTTCGTGAGTTCTGAGCCCTGAGTCAGGCTCTGCACTGGTAGTGCAGACCCTGTTTGAGATTTTCTCTCTTCCTGTCTCTGCCCCTCCCCAGTGCTCTCTCTCTCTCTCAAAATAAATAAATACAGCTTAAAAAATTAAAAAGATAAATGAACGCTTGATTTGGATGCCGGAAAGGCAGGACCTCTCTCCTTCCACATGTAATTCTAGAGCCTCTTCTCTTCATGGTGCCTCTTCATTTGGTCTTTCCAGTAGGTGAGCTGGATTGCTTCTTTGTCTTCTTTTCCTTTTTCTTCTCTCTTTCTTTCTCTCTTTTTAAGTAATCTCTCTGCCCAACATGTGGCTCGAACTCAAGACCTGGACATCAAGTCTCATGCTCTTTCTTCCCACTGAGCCAGCCAGGTGCCCTTCTTCTCTTTTTAAAAGTTTTATTGTGATAGATTTCAAATACCATAAAATTCACATATTTAAAGTTCACACGGCCCAGTGGTTTTTAGTACCATCACAGAGTTGTACAAACTATCACCACAATCTAATTTTAGAGTATTTTTAGCATCCCAGAAAGAAACCCTATACTCATTAGCAGTCACTTCTCATTCTGCTGCAGCCTTCATGTCTGTTCCGGCCCCAGACAACCACTGATCCACTTTCTGTCCATATGAATTTGTCTATTTTGGGTATTTCATATAAATGGAATCATACAATATGGAGTCTTTTTTGACCAGCTTCTTTCATTTGGCAATTAATGTGTTCAAGGTTCATCCATGTTGTGGTGTGTCTCAGAACTTCATTCCTTTTTCTCTGCAAATAATAGCCTGCTCCATGGTGATCTCCCAGTTTGTTTACCCAGTCATCTGTTGGTGGACATTTAGACTGTTTCCACATTTTGGCTATTATGAATAATGTTTCTATGAACATCTTTGTATAAGTTTTTGTGTGGACATATGTTTTGATTTTTTAAAAAATATTTATTTATTTTTAAAGGAGAGAGAGAGAGAGACAGAGTGTGAGCTGGGAAGGGGCAGAGAGAGGGAGACACAAAATCTAAAGCAGGCTCCAGGCTCTGAGCTGTCAGCACAGAGCCCAACACAGAGCTTGAACTCAATGAGCCATGAGATCATGACCTAAGCTGAAGTCAGACTCTTAACCGACTGAGCCACACAGGCACCCCTCATATGTTTTGAATTCTTGAGTCTATTTGAAGAGTGGAATTATTGGATCTTATCTTTAGCCTTTTGAGGAATTGCCAGTGTTTTCCACGATGGCTGCACTGTTTTTTTGGATTTCGTCAAAAGCTTTATTTATCATTTAGGGTGAAATCACATGTTTTTCCTCATTAGGCCCATTTAAATGGGGACTTATATTAATGGATTATTTAATAGTGAAGTATCCTAGCATTTCCAGTATAATAAGTTATTTCTTGATGACCTCTCTCTGAGTTTCTGTTTTGCTACCTGTAAATTGCAGATAATACTAGTATTTACTCTCACAGGTTTGTGATGAGTTAATGAGATAATGAATGTAAAGTGCCTATCACAGTGCTCAGCAAAGAATAAATACTCAATAAATATTAGCTATGTATTACCATCTAGGAGTAGATTCCCCCCAAATCCAGGATATTTCCCAGCCACAAAGTCTGAGTATGTGCAGAGCAATTTTCTGTGAGGCTCAGTGCACTTAGTAGTTAACAGCTGTGATATTTGTAATATTGAAAGAGGCTTCAACTACCTCCATTTTGACCCCAGTCTGTACTTTCTAATTGATTAAGTTCTTCTTTCTGGCTTATCTTTTAACACAGGCAAAAGACTCTGTGGGCAAAGCATCCCTTGATAGGAAGCTAACTACCTCCTCAAGCAATGAAGTACTCCACTGAACTAGCAAGACCCTGCATGCCTGACCCCAAGACAATGGCCGACCTGACCTTTACTGCCCGTCTGCACATTCCCAACCAACCTTTGCCCCACATTTTCCTCACATAAACCTGCAAGTGTTTTCAGCACTTTGGAGACAGTCTTTGAGACTCTAGTCTGCTGTCTTCCCAGTGCTGGTCTTGCTGAAATGAATTCCTTTCTTTATCACCACTGCTTGTCTCTCTGCCTTTGGATTTTTGTCAGCAGAAAAGTGGCCTAACCTGGTCTGTTTGGGACCCCTGGAGCCACACGCTCTTGCACCCCTGCAAGAGCTACAACAGGCTACAACATAACAAGAAATTTATACTTGATCTTGATCCCCAGTTCCTGGGACAGAGCTCCTAAAAAGCTTTGTAATTCCCTGAGTGACGGGGGTGATGGGAGAATCTTTTGTTATTTATAATAAGCCCCATCCAACCACAGCTGAGCTATGCTAATGAGGTGACTCTTGCAGGGTGGAGGTTGCAAGCCTGAGATGCTGACCATGTGATCAGAGGGTCGGAATTTTCAGCCCCACTCGTGACCTCCAGTGGCTGAGGGGCTGGAAACTGAGTTATCCACCAAAGGTCACCGATTTAATCAAGCATGCATGACTGTGTAATGGAACCATAAAAACTCTAAATGAAGGGGTTCAGAAAGATTCCGGGATGGTAAATATATCCACATGCTAGGAGGGTGTCACACTCAGGACAGATCTGGACCTCACTCTACATCCCTCTTATCTGGTTATTCATTTGTATTTTTCATAATAAACCCTTAATAGTACTTTAAGTGTTTCCCTGAGCTCTGTGAGCTGTTACAGCAAGTTCTTGAAATTGAGCATTGTGGGAACCTCTGATTTGTTGCCATGTGGGCAGAAGTGTAGGTCAACTTGGGACCCATTACTTATGATTGGCATCTGAGGTGGGGGAATGTCTTGTGGGACTGAGTACTTGACCTGGGTAGTGAGAGTCAGAATTGAATTAAATTATAGGACAGTTGATGTCCCCAGAGAACTGGAGAATTACTTGTGGGAAACCCACACAATCTCGGGTCAGAAATACGATGAAGGACTCAGGCACTGGAATTCATCAGGCATGGGTTGGAATCCTGAGTTTACCATGTACCAGCTCTGTGTCTTGGGTATGTTTTGCTTAACTCAGAGCTTAACTTTTGTCATCTGGAAAATAGCGGTATGATGTCTGCTCCATTTACCTGATGCATAAATTAACCAAGATCATTTATGCAAAGCACTTAACCCATAGTAATACCATATAGTGAGTAGACCTTGTGGTGGGGGTGGGAGGGAAGGTTAGTCTGACAAAAGAAGAATGTCATGAAGTGGCCATATCCTGACTCAGGAGGAACTGACTTGACCAGGATAATCCATCACTTTCCCACTCTTCTCTCCTTTCAGAAATGGAATTCATGTTTCCTAATGACATGAAGCAGTGTGGTATGACAGAGGGAGCATTGGCTAGGGACGCTTGGATTCCAGTTTTGATTCTTCTAGGAATGGCTGCATAACCTTGAATCAATCATACTCTAACTACATCAGTGCCTTTCAAAGTTTTGATCACATCTCAAAACATGACATTTATTTTGCACCATGGTGTAATATTTATATATTACTATACATAACCGAAAAAATTAGTCATGCTTATCTTTACTACTGGAGTATTATATTAGTTTTCTATTGTTGTGCAACAAATCACCACACCCTTAGTGTGTTTATTACATCTGTGTTCATGGGTCAGAGTGCCGGCGCATGGAGCCGGATGCCCACTGTCAAGATGTGGGCTGGTACTGCCGTCCTGAAGCTCAGGTTCTCTTCCATGTTCACATGGTTGCTGGCAGAGGTCAAGTCCTTACAGCTGTAGAATTCATAGCAGCTTGCTTCTGCAAGTTCATGGGAGAACCTTTCTTTTAAAGGGTTAACCTGATTAGGTTAGACTTATCCAGGATAGACTATCCAGGATAGTCTTTTGATTATCTCAAAGTCAGCTGATTATGGGCCCTAATTATTTCTGCAAAATCCCTTCCTTTGCTGTGTGACCATTGTAATATTGGGAGTGATATCCCATTGTATATCCAAGGCCCTGTCCTCACTCAAGGGGAGGGGATTATGTGAGGTCACTGGGGATCTTCTGAGAATTCTGCCTACCACTGGTATGTTAGTTATACTCTGATATTTTTGACTCTTTCCTTTCCTTTAAAAAATTAGATTTTGCCACCTGTTAATGGCTTGGGGCCACTAGCTTGAAACCCTGCACTGGATGATTTTCAAGGGCCAAAAATCCATGCTGTCAAGCATAGTCCAGAGCCATGGGCATTGGGGGACTCTGGCCACGGGGGCAGGAGGCAATCATATTAATATCTTGTGCAGAGAGCTTGACAGTATCAGTGCTAACTTGACTGAGTTTCTTTGGCCCTGCTCCTCACAGAGAACTGTCCTTCTAAGTTGGGAGTTGCTGAGCCTCTCAGCATGCTGGGAAGTTTATTTGGACAGCTACCAAGGGGAGCTTGGAAGTCACGCCCCCTTCTGGCCATGCCCAGAAGCAGCCAGCTGTCATGGATTCTGCCTGGCTCATGGCTCAAAGGAAGGCCTAGGAAGCAGGGTGATGGGGGTTGGGGGGGGGGGACAGGAAACAGGCTCAGGCCCAACACAGTTACCAGCTGTGTGACTGCTCAGGACGATTCTTTCTAAGGCCTCGGTTGCCATCTCTGATACTGGGATGTCTAAGGATCCTATGACTCTGCAAGGAAGCAGAATTGCCATTTCTATTGGAGGCTGAGGCAGGAAGGTGGATTCATGCTGCTGGCCAGTGACCAGGTACACTCCAGAAAAGTCTAGCTATGAGAAGCCAGACTGTGAACTCCCTCAGAGCAAGATGTCTCTACCTTTGGGTGTTTGCCCAGGCAAAAAGCCTGGCACCTAAATCTTTGTTTAGCTGAACAACAGGGTTCTGGAATGAGGGTTTCTTTTGTATGGAGGGAGGGGTTGTTTTGTTTTAGCTCTGGGCTCTCAGATCGCACCGTGAGAGGCACCGTCTTGGCTCATGACTGTGAGCACCTCAGCCAGTGGGGCTGTGAACTCTGCCTTCTTAAGGATTTAAAATAATTTAGAATTCTTTCTATTCAGAGGGAGTTGGGACCATGAGATGGTATGAAAGCCAGGTGACAAGAGTGATGGTTCCTTGGATCTGTGGGGCATTAATCATCTCCTGTTAGAACCACCTCCATCTCCTGTCTGGGTGGGGAGGTGAGATAGGAAGCCAGGAGTGGGGAGAGAGGACTTCCTGGCTGAACTGGCAAATGGGGAAGGAAGGGTACGGATGTGAGAAGGCAAAGGAGGTAGAGAAGAGGGTGGGGGGAGAGAAACAAAGGAAAAAGATTGATTGTAGCAATGGATTTTTTCTCCTGGGAATTTTTAAAGGCAAACAACCCCCTAAAACAAAAACCCTGATACCCCAAATACCTTCCCCTTCCTTTTCATAACAAGAGCTGGTGAGTTAGTGCACAGTGTATTGAACAGGGCACCCAACAACCCATTTTGGGATCAATAAAAAGTTTAAGAGACTAACCATCCATGTAGAGGACCCTTCTGGGCTTCAGAATTAGGCAGCCCTAAAAAACAAAGCAAAAACAACAAAAACAAGAACAACAATTAGGTAGCCCTAAGGCAAACACATCCACCAGTACCAGCGCTCAGCAGGAATAAATATATGCTCAGTTGGTTAACTCCTGTGTAACCTATGAGTTACCAGTTGGCAGAGGACTTGATAGGAAAGAGGAGTATTATATACGGGCCCCCTTAATTGCTCCACCTGGTAGAAAATCCTGCCTGCCTCTCAAGGCTGCCAGGAGGAAGAAGCTTCCCCAGTAAGCCCTCATGTCACACCAAAGAAAGTTTGGGATGGCTGTGGAATAAGCAAGGCTCCTTTTTCTCAAGGGACATCCTACCCTTCTTGCCCTGCCCACTGTGAGGTGGGTAGAAGGACTGTGTCCTGGCATCTGTGGAAGCTGCTGAGTCAGCTGTACAGCCACACGGATTGGAGGAAGAAGCTCCTCCCCTCGCAATGATTCAATAGGGACTATTTCACTGCCCCAAGGCCTGGCCAGGAGGAAGTACACACACACACACACACACACACACACACACACACACACAAGTGCTCAGAACTGAGCTCAGGTAGCCCAGCCTTGCAAGCCCAGAGCCCAGGGCACAGAAGCCTGAGGAGAGGGGTACATTCCAGTCTCTCAGTGATTTGAACATGGTGATTGTGTAGGGGAAGGGCCCCCACAGCTCTCTGGATCCCAGTGCTGGTGATCCACTCCGGGGGCCTACCCAAAGGAACTTTACACTTCAGTCTTTTTATGAGTCTCTGGTCTTTGCCACCTGTGTATGTGTTGGGATAAGCTCATTACTTTTCATATTAGCATAAGGAAAGCTAATTGGAATGGTGGATCAACTGCAAAATAAATGGTGTGATGCATTTACAAAGGAATGAATTATCTTTTGTTTGGAATTGTTCTGCCTGCTCTACTTCCACTAGCAAAGCTTATGGTGAGCTAAGTGTGAACTAAATTTGTTGTTTCATAATGGAATAGTATCCAGGAAGGGCCAGAAAATGCCAATAGACAATAAGCATAAATAAGGTTCAAGGAGGAAGAGGTCATTTTAGGCAGATGTGTCCAGAAAAGATTTCAGATTTGAGCATTGAACTAGGCTTTGAGCCTGGGGTGATATTCTCTGACATACTTTGTAAGGGATCCTATTTCATTATATAATTTTACTATAATTTCTTCAACCAATTCTCTATTGTTGAACAATACCAGTTTATTTACTGGCTTTTGGTAAACAACACTATAATGAACATCTTAAAAAAATTTTTTTTATTACTCATTTATTTTTGAGAGAGAGAGAGAGAAAGAGAGAGAGAGAGAGCATAAGCTGGGGAGGGGGAGAGAGAGAGGGAGACACAGAATCTGAAACAGGCTCCAGGCTCTGAGCTGTCAGCAGAGGGCCTGACATGGGTCTCGGACTCAAGAACCATGAGATCATGACCTGAGCTGAAGTCAGACACTTAATGGACTGAGCCACCCAGACACCCTAATGAACATCCTTATATACACATTTTTATGAATTTAATTTTTTTTAAAGGATTGGGTGTTTTTCTTGAAAGGGAGTTGATGAGTCAAGATTATGCACAAATGTTTTAAATCATCATTTCCTTTTTTGATTACTAAATTAATACACACTCACTATAAAATATTCAAACACAACAGAAGAGTATGGTTTTGAAAAATGTAAGTCTTCTGTAGTCCCATGTCCCAGAGATATTTTCTGATAACAGTTGGTATATATTTTTCTAGCTTTTTTCAATGAGACACTGACATGTTGTAACAGACACACCTCCAAAGACTGACTTTCCATCACACTTAGAATGGACTCCAGAGCCTGGGCCTGGGTCCAGGTGGGCTGTGTGGCCCCATGTTCTACCACTCTCTCCCCTTACTTGTCCCAGCTGCACAAGTCTCCTGGCTGTTTCTAGAGCCACCTAAATATGCTACTATGACAGGTCTCGTGGTGGCCAAGCTTCTGACTAGAATGTCCTTTCCTCAAATATTCACAAGATTCCTGCCCTCTATTCAGGTTTCTGCTCAACTGTCACTATTTCTGAAGGGCCTTCCCTGACCACCTACCTAAAATAGCACATTTCATAACACTATTTCTTTTCTTTCTTTCTTTCTTTCTTTCTTTCTTTCTTTCTTTCTTTCTTTCTTTCTTTCTTTCTTTCTTTCTTTCTTCTTCTTCCTCTTCCTCTTCTTCTTCTTCTTCTTCTTCTTCTTCTTCTTCTTCTCCTCCTCCTCCTCTTCCTCTCTTCCTCCTCCTCCTTCTCCTTCTTTGTAGGATCCATGCCCAACATGGGACTTGAATTCATGATCCTGAGATCAAGAGTCACATATTCTACCAAATGAGCCAGCCAGGTGCCCCAATGCTATTTCTTCATAACACTTATCATCACTTAACATTTCATATATGTATGATTGGTTTATTGTCTGTTTTGAAAGCTCTGTAAATGCAAAGACATTGTCTTGGTCTTTGTACACCCCCAGCACCTGGAGTAGACACTGGCACGTAGTAGATGCTTGATCTATGCATGTTGAATAATTGAATAAGATGAAATGAAAGTATATTTATCATTCTAAAACCTGCTTTTTTACTTAACAGTATATCAAGGACATCTTTTCATGTCAGTATATAAATCTTTTTCGTCTTACTAAGGCTCTACAGCAGGACTGGAATTTATTTGCCCAATTCTCTCTTGATGGGCATTTGTGTTGCTTCCAATTTTTCAATATTATGGACAGTGTTACATTACACATCCTTGAGTATATATCCTTGCATGCTTTTAATGTTTTATATCCTTTATCTGAGGTGATGAAAAAACCCTGCAGGCATGAATGTCTAGCATAATGTTGGAAATGCAGACTTGGTGCTCAGAAATATCCAGCCTGTGGGTAGATTTGAGACTTCTTCATGCAGACCTGATCATTGAAGTCATAGGAATCAATGATAAAGAAGGAAATTGAGCAAAGCTCAGAGACATGAATCTTAAACAGTGTCTGCATTTAGAAGGCAGAAGGAGAGGGCAAGAAATTATTCATTCTTTTGACATATGTGTTGACTGGTATTTTCTAAAAGTGGGGAATACAATATGACATGAGTGACATAGACCTTGTCACTACCTTCCTGTTGCTTAGAGTCCAATGGTGGTGGGAGAAGGGCACAGGAAACAACAAAAGAAATTAAAAAATCATACTATGATGGATAGGATAGGATGGCACTGAAATACAGACTAGAGATTTTAAGGAAAGTGTTCTGGAAGTAACATTTAAGCTGAGACTAGAGTAGGTAGCAGTTAGTTAGTTAGGTGAAGGGGTATGCTCCTGAGTGGGGAAGTGTTTCAGGCTAGCAGTAGAGCACTTCTGAAGTCTAGGAGGTATGAGGGGGCATGGCACACCCAGGCACTGGGAGAGAAAGTCTGTGTGGCAGGAGAGTTGAGACTGAAGAGGATAGTAGGAAAAGATGGGATGGAGAGGTAGGCAGGAGTTCTCTGGGTCATGTTAAAGGGGTCTGCTTCTATTTTAAAGGCAATGAGGAATTTTAAGCAGGGAGGTCTTGTGACCATAGTTATATTAGAAAATGACTCTGGCTCACACTGCAGTCAATGGATGGAAGATGGGGTGGGGTGAGGAAATGATCAAGACTGGAGGGACTTGTTGGGAATAAAAAGGGTGGGGATGTTGGCCTAAACTAAAGCAATGGTGTTGGGCATGAAGAGCAGTGAATGGATTCCAGAGGCACCTGAGTATTAGAAGGTATAATTGATAGGACTTGGTTATAAATTATATTAGGAGGAGAAGGAAAGTGAAGAATCAACAATGGTGAACAAAGATGATGAGCACTTTGTGGCTTGTGTAACTGAGATAGGAGGAGGAGCTGGTCTGGAGGTGGGCTGAGGATGGAAATTTTAGTTTTGGAGATACTGAATGTGAGGTGTATGTGGAATAACCAAGCAGACCAAGTAGATAAAAGAGAGATATCTGGGCTAGAGGCTAACTTATATGTCTTCAGTATCCAGATGGAATTGACACCATTGTTAAATCCATGAGAACAGGCACTTGTATATCTTCAGGGCTTAGATCAGTGCCTGACTTACAGTGGGTGTTCAATAAATACTTGTGGGGATACCTGGGTGGCTCAGTTGGTTGAGTGTCTGACTCTTGGTTTTGGCTCAGGTCATAATCCCAGGGTCATGGGATGAG